ATAATTTAGTAGTCCCTGCTCGAGAAATCAAAACTAAGAGGTTGCTGCTTTGCACCAAGAAGTGTCAACAAGAAACTGGCTCGCAGGGATGCAAAGATAAAATGTTAGGTGACCATCTAGGCGGAGGTATTCATACATTACATACAGAAGATGATAGTGTAGCTACGCGATCTGTTCCAACAATTTGCAAGAGAATTGCTAGAGAAAAGCCAAATGCTACCACTATAGCAATAGAAGGTTTAATAATGTACAAAACAAATAAAACAGGAGAATGGCTTGGGCAGCTAGCAAATGAGAAACGGAAGTAGTACATCGAGTGGGCAGCTAGAGCAGTGAATGAGCAAAGAGTAGAATTTGTAAGGTGGAAGAAAGAAATACAGGAGCGAAGGCTGCAGAAGCGAGCAGAAAAACTAAACGTTGCATTAAATAAACAGAAGCAGTGTAGAGCCAGAATAGATAAACTGACTCGAAAACTGTGTAGTGTAGGTGGGATCTGGGATATCGAGGAACGGGTTACGTATGAATTAGGCAAGTGTAAATATGTGATAAGAAGCTGGAAGCACTCTGAATTCAGATTACATATCGCAATGTAGTTATGCAAGCAGAAAATGAAGATAATAGGCTTAGCCTTTCTAAGGGCTCTAAAAAGTTTGGCGTAGCAGTCCTGACTGATAACCTGTATGCTGTGATTAGTACAGCTAATCGAGAGATGGAGGAAGTTTATGGTGAAAGCAGTGTGGGTAGTGTTGTTTCACATGCCGCAACAGATAAGCAAGCTGTAGATGAGGCAAAGCCAAAGGCAAAGAATGCTGAGGCAGTTAGAAGTATAACAGAGAAAGAAACCAGCAAACCAGCAAGAAAACGTGCGAAAACACACCTAAATGTGTCAAGTTCTGATCAAAGGGTAATGGTGGGTAGGCAGGTAAAACATTTGTGCAGTGGTCAAGGGAAAGATGAATGGTTTTCTGGGGTACTAGTTAAGGTTGGATCGCGGTATGGGATAAGATATGATGGGTATAAAGAAATATTCGTTTGGAATTTAAAGCAGCTGCAAGAGGACATGGAGAAGACAGAATTAGTAGAGGTAGAATTAGAGCCAGATTATTTAGTTGGCAAAAATATAGAACATTTATGGATTGATGAGGATACAGGAGATGAAGTATGGTATAAAGAGAAAGTTGTTGAATGGGATGGGCATAGTTATGTAGTTATTTTTGAAGATGAGGAGGAGGAATGTTATGGAGAAAGCTATGAAATGAGTGAAAAGGTATATTTGCTTACTGATTATAAGGCTGGTGAGGTTAAAATAATATAGGTTAGAAATACATTACAGTATATGTTGTTATATGCTATTACTGTATATATATATATATATATTTATATATGCTGTATATTACGCGGTGGTTTAGTTTTCGCGAATTTTGCGAACGCGTCCCCGACCGCGAAAATAACAACACGCGAATAATTCATACTGAATAATACCAAATGGTTCATAATTCACCGACCTCAAAATTAACCACTCGCAAAATTGTCCGTCAAGTCTGAATTCGCGAAAATATGTGTGGCGCGAAAGATAACATGGCTTATACAGTATTTTGTGCTATGATGTAAAACTTGACAACTACAATAAATTGTTTAACTATATTACTTTTTAAATAAATATGTTGCTTATTTTTTTCTCTAATGTTGTATTTTAAAAAGTACACAGCTACGTGTAGGATAATAATTTAACAATATGTAGCCTGTCAGATCAAAACATGCCGTAGGACTCAATTCGGACATTATGAGTTAGTAGTGTTACCAGAAAGGACCATTTAATTCTGGTTATTTTTGACACCCAAGATCTTCTTCCTAGGTTCACATGGTTCGGAAGTTATGAGCATTTGAGTAGTTGGAATCGGGCCGATTTTGGAAAACAAAGTTCAGAGTAATTAGGTCATAAGCCTCTTTAAAGTTTGTTTTCATTTGGACAAAAATCTGAAAAAATATCTTCCCATTGAGCTAGACACATTTGCATTTGCATGCACGTACCAGACATAATAACCATCCACTGTATGAAGTACGAAAATGGTAGCTTACAGTTAAGGTAATTAATTATGGTAATTAAAACGTTAATTATCTGGACTTTTTGGACACGCAAATAAACATATAAAGACACACTTTTGGCTGTTTTATTGATGTAGCATCGAACATGGATAACTACTAAAGGTATTTATGACAAAAAAAAATCTGCTTTTTACTACTTTTAGGTGAAAAATCACCTATAACTCAGAATGAACATTGAAGTCCTACGCCATGTTTTGATCTGACAGGCTACATATCATACAGATACAGATTTCAAGACTTAGGGTATGTTATAGTTACAACACTACGAGTACTGATGAAAACATGAAAGTTATAAATAATAGTTGTTCAAAATAGTATTAATCCTAAGTCACTATACTTATTATAAATCATATTTTTTATTTGATTCAGAAAAGATACTCTTTATAGAGAGAATGGGCAGCTCGGAAATCTGACCCGTGAAATTTAAATTTTCTCAAAACTTTAGACGGTCATATAAAATAATTGATGTCGTTTACATGTATTGTTTTTTAGACACCTGGACCCGGTTCCACAGTCGTGGATTAACTTTAACCCTGAGTTAAGAGTTAATCCAGGTTCGAACCAGAGTTAAATTTTAACTCTGAGTTAGGCATATTTAACTCAGAGTTAAAGTTAATCCACGACTGTGAAACGGAATTTAACTCTGAGTTAACTTTTAACTCTGAGTTAAGGAATTTAACTCAGAGTTAAGAGTTAATCCACGACTGTGGAACAGGGTCCTGTATATCAATTTTGTCAAAAAATGTCGGTGCCGTCGCTGTTACAATACGCATAGCAATACGTAAATCGCTTGCTATGGAGCTATATTCAGACACCTATAAAAATGTGCAGGCATCTTCCAGATCGCAGTAAATAGTTATTTAATATATCAACCATCATTCTTTTTCATCCCACGAAGTTTTATGAGTGTATGTAACTTATTTGCTTCACAAGTGGCAAACAAAATCTACACCGCGGGCTTCTGAACACGTACTCGGAAACGGCCTGAGAAAAATTACCCCAGCGACGCTCACTAAAATCGCGATAGCTCCGGAACCCTTTAACCAATGTCGACGATTTAAGTATCATTGTAATCTACTAACTGAGATCTATCCAGTGGTGCTACTTATAGGCATGTATAAACATGTATAAAACATGTATAAATCTGTCAACCAGTATCTGGAAAAAGGCCGTAGTATAGTCACAGTGTCCTTTATTCATTAACATAGCAAAACAATAACCGCAATGTAAGTAAGTGTGCTAGTCATACGTTTTGTGTATATCCTTGGTATTAAAAATATTTAGTAAAAGTATGCTACGCAATATATATCATGGATAAT